CAGCCGAGTCTCTGAAAAGAACAGCTTCTGGTAAAATCCTCAATACTTCAACCTTTATCAGGCGGACCAACACAATAAAGCAACTGAAAGGAAATAAGTTGAATGTTGAAACTCGGAGAAAGCACACTGAGCTTTTGGAGAAGAATTATAAATGAACACACAGAAACACCCATCAAAGTGTGTGAGAAGTCTGCGTGGGTTGTTTAAGCATGTAGGTGATTTAATGTGGGAGTCTGCACGACTATGACAAACTTAAAAACCAAGAAATTATAAACTAAAAAAATATAACAGTTTCAAAACATGTTCTTCTTGTCAAAAAGCTCTTCAAAAAAAACCCAGTATGAAAAAACCAGCTCCACCATAACGCCTGGAATCAATCATCCATTACGCTCCAATCACATCTCTGCTATTAAATTAGCGACTAACGAGGCCGCCAGTTGAGCTCTGACACACGGATGATGATGTTAATGATGAGGAGGGAAACAAAAAGAAGGATAGAGGGGAAGGAAAGATCACCTGATAGGTCAGAAAATGTGATTATGCAACATTCAGTTCAGCCAGAGAGCGAGCGAGTGTGAGAGAGAGCGAGAGAGCAGTCCTCGCCAAAGGAAAACATGACTCAGTGGTGAATAATATGGAGTTTGATGTTCATGGCCACCATATGTGTTTGGATCTGCTCCGTGTGGGCATGCTGCAGTTTATAGCAGGATGCCTCTTGAGAAATCTCTCTCGACGTGTATTTCCTTAAAGTTCTGCACATATACAGTATTCATGTTTCTAGACAACATTTTCCACGGGATTTTCCGAGCTTCGTTCATTTCTTTCAGCGCCAATACGAGGTTCAGATTTGTGTCTTTTGAATGACATTTCTCAACAACTACGGGATTAAATCCCCTCAGAGTGAATTGTTAGAAATGGATGATTTTCAGACTTCTCTGATCTAGCATCATCATTAGCTCAAATGTTTAAAAAGTCTGATCGTTTTTTATATGAACAAATACTGTGAACTATAAGAAAAAGAAGGTAGCCTCTGGTTCTTAAATAGTAAATTACACCTGAAATTGTGTAAATGCAGGCAGGCAGGAACTGATCTGGTTACAAAAGATTGTTTAGAATTAATGAGAAAATAACACTTCTACCACCATGTTTTATTACCGTTTTCACATATGCACTCCTGAAAATTTCTAGATAATTGCAGGAGGACTTCTCCGGATATTCTCCTGACCTGGCTGTTCACATATGGGCCTCACAGCAGGAGACTATCCCTGAATATTTTTTCTGCAACTGTGAAACCCCTATAAGGGAACATTTCCCTATGAGTTTATGATCTAATTCCCAAGTTTAAAATCCACCTCAATATAGTATATAGATGTGCATTTTGTAAACTATAGCCACATTTAGAATGAAATGTAAAGCAGGGTTTTTTGTAGTTTGTGGCTACTTGGATTGACAAGTTTTTCAACCTGCAACTTTGCTATACTGTAGCAAGATGTAGCCCACCCTTTTGTCTCTTAAACAGATAGCTAAAATGCCTCAAGGCTTCTAAACAGTCGTCTATAAACCATTGGGTGATGTCACCCTAGCTATGTCCACTTTTATACACAGTATACTTCAAATACCCACATCAATAATAATCTTCCCATCACTATAAGCTGAACTTTATGTTTGGTACCAGCAAATGCTGGATTGTGCACATGTACTGTATGTATTTTGATGAAAGCACTGTTCTGACATCTTACAGGCAAACAGAGCAGCTGTTGACTTGTTTTCTTGTGCGTCATAAAGAGGTTGATGACTCACAGAGTGGTCAAAATATATAGTCCACAAAGTGTACAGTAAGTCTACAATCATATTCTGTTGTGATCCTACTTTCACTTCTTCTGTTTGTGGTTTAAAGTGTGACTCACAGCATAGCTACATATTGTGTCGGCATGGTACAATGCCAACATACCATATGCACTGATATAGTGCTCGAGTAGGCGAGCCAGCTTTAGAGCACACATGCATATGATCCATGTTGGATGATAATGCCTGTGTGATTTAAAGCGTAAAAGAACCACTGATGAAAGATGATGATTACATTGTTCTGCATGACCAGGACTGGACCTGGGAGGAGGTCAGCTAAGGCTGGATGAAGAAGAGGAGGAGGGGAGGAGGAGGCGAGACAGTATGAAAAGATGGCAGGGGAGTCTCTCTCTGCTCGTTCTCATGACATAAAATGAGGCCAGTCAGGCTGGCTGTAAACATCGATTCGCAGGGGAAATCCAGAAAACAAAGGCAAATGGAAGCAATAAAATGCTTTATTTTACTTTCATTCTAAACACTGAAAGGTTAGAGTTAATTTAACGTCATAAAAAGCAGTTATTACAGTCATACTCTGACTTTCATTATGTTTGTATTTATTTGTTTATAAAACCAGCTTTAAATTAGATGATGACTATTTATGGAAAGATGATGTCATGGAGGAAAGGAGGTCAAGTCAATAAAGGGGGGGGGGGGTTGGCAGAGAGGGGGGAGTCACTTTAAAAAGGAAACATTTAAATGTCCTGGCTCATTCATTTCTCAGCATCTTTTTTTTTAAAGCCTTTGAGAGAGCAAATGGAAAAATGTAGTGGCACAGAGAAGCTCAGGAGGAGCAGAGGAAACGCAAGTTGTTATGTAATGACTACAAAGATAAAAAAAAAGGGGGGTTTAAAGCTTTGCATCCAACAGACTGGCACATTATCTGAATGCTCAAATGGAAACGAAGAGTAACAAGGAAGAGAGTAAAGTCCCTCTTTTGCGTTTCCATTTCTTCCCTTCATGCTCGGGCAAAAGGGGGAAAAAAAGGGGGAAACATATTTGGACATATGTAGCTGGGTAGAGTTTCAGGTTGTGGAGAGGGATAAGAGCTGTGATTGGCTGGGAGTCTGTGCTGCAGGAAACCACGGGATGTGATTCTGGCTGTATGGTTTTAAGGCTGCAGAAAAACACATACTGTATGCACATGAAAAAAAAATGAAAAAAAGCAGACACAAAATAAGCCATTGCAAAAATGCCAAATTCTCACTACATCACTGAGTCGATTCTAACTTCTTATTTTCCTTCCTTGTCTGAAACCAACTTTAAAGCACTCTCCTCCGGGATTTTTGATGTGAGGGAGAAAACCGCAAAGACTAGAGTGACAAATTAAGTGATTGGCTTTGACAGAGAGAGAAGGAGGAGGGATACAAAAGACAATCACTGAAGAGTTTGTTGTCCTCCATGATCTCATGTAATCAGTGTTATTTCCCCCTTCACTAAGGCTGGTCTTTGTGATGGTGATTAAAAGCTCATTAAAAAGCTCATTTAAACGGCATTACATGCTGAGGCTTCATATACATGTACGTATGTGTTTTCAAGGTATAAGCTGCTTGTGTATCTCTAAGCTGTGTAACATAACATTCAAACATTAAGGAGGAAAGTCAAGTCTGGGAAAGCACTTCACGACATAAACCCCGTGAGAAAAGGATAAAAAGAGCTTCAAACATTCTTGAAAAGCACTCCGTATAAATTATTTCAAAGAAAATTATGACATTTACTCCCTTTACTCCCTCGACACATGTTTTAACAGCTTCTTAAAAGAAGTTGTTCAATGAAACATAGACTCTGGGAAACGAGTTACAGCTGATGGAGTTTCCATGTTTCTTTAAAAAAAATCTCATTCTTTCTTTTAAGCTGCCGTGATTCCCTCTTCATACTTCAAACCCTGATCCTTTCTTTGTCTGTCTAACCCCAAACCTCTTTCTTTCAAACCTCGTTCCTTGTTCTGTAATACCGAGATTACAGTCACACTTTCATTAGCTGGAGGCTGTTTCTGCTGAGCTGAGCTCTTCTACGCTAATAACACTAAAAGCTACAGGCTGTGTGTCACTATGTGTATGTGTGTGTGTGTGTGTGACGGTGTGGCCTTGTAACCTTAAACACTAACTGACTGGTACAACATTAGGAATAGACCATTAGGGGAGTAGTTCAGCATTTTGGAAAATAATTTCTTCCTAGTAGAAAGACATCTTTAGAAATCCTTAGAAATGATGCTCCTTAATAACTGCAGAACTTACCTCAGTATCATCATGGTTTTTTTTTTTTTTTTTTACATTTTCTTTGTTTAATGGTTTACGCCTGTGGGTACACTGCTTACTGGAGCAGCTGTATGTAATTCAGCATACTGTTAATAGTGCTACTGTGCCCAGATATACGGTAGATGAATTTAGGCTAAAGACTGGCGCTGAAGTTAAATCTCAAATAGATGCCAGACAGATTTCATTTTGAGGGACAAAATTGATTCATAAAACTTGTTAACGTTGCGCCTTCAATATTTCCCCTTCGTTGAGTGCATAGATGTATAATAAGGGTTTATGGAGTTTATTGGTTCCTTATGCCCTAATGGTGTTTTCACGCATGCACAAAAACTCCAGAAAGTTCCCAAAAATGTTTGGCGTGAGCTGCAAGTGTGAACGCAAATGGCTAGATTTTTCACCCACACTTTACCGGGGATTATTCCTGCCCAGTCAGGTTGAGCCAATGTGTGAACGTTGGAGTAAAAGTCAGGTAAATTCACCTCAGGCTAGCAGGAGGGGGTGATGACATTGGTGCACCCAGAGCAATGATCTTGCACATAATGTTGCTGCTTTATTCTATTTATCTGCTTGATGGTATTTCCTTCTATACTCATTACTGTATATTAATTGTACGCCATCTATGAATTCTGCTGTGCATTTTTTTCTGTCATGGTAGCCTCCTTTAAGCAGTTTCCAAACTCCCCACATCTCTGATGCATTATGACATGGAAAATTACTTTAGGCAAAGGTGAGTTTCCCCCTCGAAATTTGGTTCTAAGGCTAAAAAAGCCCAAGAAATATTCGTTAGAACTTATCCTTTAATATAAAACAACTTCATTACATGCTGCCACCGGCCTGCTGGTACAGTATTAACAATCATTACTTTCCATCTTGTAATAAACACATAAAGAGCCGTCTTACTTCTCATCCATGTTGGCAGAGTTCCTCAGCGTGAACGGGACGATCTCATTACACGAGCTCTCCTTGTTGTCTGCTGTCACGTTAGCCCGGATGAAGGGGTCCAGGTCTCCGTTGACTGAGGCTTCCGGTTTGGTGCTGTTCTCCAGGTTAAGCAGGTTCAAGTAGGACTCGGCGCTGTCCACCGTGGAGGGGGAGAGGGGTGAGGTTTGGAGCGGCCAAGCAGGAGTGGAGGTGATGAGCTGGTCCAGAGTCTGGCTGTAGTGATTCTTCAGATTCAGAGACAGAGACTTTGCTGATGTAGAGACAGGGCTGCTGGATGACTGTTGATCACCTGAAAGAAGAAAAATCAACAAAATGACAAACGAGTCAAGATATGGAGAAGAGGAACCGATAAACGTGTTGGCCTTTTTGTTTTTTCTTCTGAAGACGTGCTGACTTTCATTACAGAAAAGAGCATATGGCAAGATTCCAGTGGCATCATTTAGCCTAGCCATGTTTGAGATTAGCAAGATTAGCATTTCCTATCAAAGGGACTAACATGATTAATTCAACCATTAACCATGATGTGTTATTTCCAGACACACAGGAAAACACATTCAGTATGTACACAGAATTAACACAAACTGACACACAGCTCTCTTCAGTATGTGTGTGTGTGTGTGTGTGTGTGTGTGTGTGTGTGTGTGTGTGTGTGTGTGTGTGTGTGTGTGTGTGTGTGTGTGTGTGCTTATTCATTGATATTTGGCAGACTGTCTTTTTTAACCGCTATAAATACATTTCTCCTCCAAAAACCCTCCTGTGGGAGAAAGGTGTGTGTTTATGGTTTTTTCCAAAATAAAAATGTTAACACCATCAAAACTCTCTCTGAGCATTGGAGTGTGAGGTAAAGTGGAAAAATGGCTTGAATCCATTATATTATATAATCTTTTATAAGTTAAGTATATAACGTTCTGTAGTAATGAGTCCTAAAACCCAGAAATGAATTAGCATTTTAGCACTGTCTTGAAGTCCATGGGGTTTTTGAATTAGTTTTTGGTTAGATGCCAGAAATAATGTCTGTGGTAAACACAAGCTTAAGAGATTAAATTTTGTTTTGTCTAGAACAAAAATTACATCTGGAAGAGCCGCACTTGTGAATTTTGAAGCTTTTTCACGTCTTACAAAAGGTTGTCGCTAACAACTGGCTAACTCTGACTGCAGAGTTTGTTGGTAACATTAAACATCATCACGCTGAACATGTAGCCTCATCTACTGGGTGGAAGCTTAGCGGTGGTGACGTTGAAGTCAGTTGACCGTGGTGTAGTTTCTTTATAGCCTTAAATTAGCATTTGACATGAAAAAAAACCCAGTAGGCTTTTTGTCAATAGAACCCAGGCGATGCTAACTTCCGGGATTGCCTACAAAAAATAAGTCCTCCCTGCTGCACTCCATAGAGGCTCTTGTTTTGGAAAATGTGTTAATTACACACATTGTGTTAGGCAGAGTGAGCGTGCTGTTAACACAATGCGGGGCCCGCGAGTTGATTATAAAGCTTTTGTTAAATCGCAACAATCACTTCAAAGTGAGATCAATAATCTTATTCTGTTCTGAAATTGACACAACTGCAGCAGAAAATACATTTTATAACACGCTCAGTGGCAATTTTATAATGGTAAACCAGTAAAATCTAATTGCAGCCGTATATCTTAAACTTAACATTATGAACGTTTAGATTTGATTACACTGTCAGGACGGTATTATTCTAAATAAATGTGTATTATTGAGCTTTCTGTGTGCACTGGCATTGACCTACTGGACTGTATTACATTAAGCGTGGGGTATTATGAGGCACAGAGATGAGGCAGTGGGGGATTTATTAGAAACACAGTACAGTCCAGGACAATAGAACTGTTAACTATTAATACACATATGGCTGAATTAACATTTATCGGAGTGTGTTAACAAAAACTAAATGTAAAATCTCCTTAAATGTAGAATGTGTTACAAATCAGATTCTTAGGATTGAACTTGTGACCCTTAAATGTCCACAATTAAATATCTAAATATCTAACATCTCTGGATGTAGGAAATTGTGTGCCTGCATTAAAGGATTCACAAGGAAACATAACTGAGGGTACACCATAACTTTTTTTAATAAGAAATGTGTTTCAATATGACTTATTGCCGGCCTCATCTCAGCCTCTCAGAGCTGCGAGAATGCCTGTGGACTCTTTTTGGATGCATCATTTCATTTAGCATGCAACTGAAGCATATGAACTCTGTTTCTCATTGAGAGCCTTCAGATCATCTTGTTTTTTCAGCATTCTCAGGATCAAAACCAAAAAAAAGGTGAAGCAGAGTTTAGTTTCATTGATCCCCACCTGTGGAAAAAGCTTCCTGAATATCTCTAGATGGCTTAAACTGTCAGCGCATTTTAATCAGGGTTCTATTTAACCTGGATCTACCTTTCGCTTACTTTGCCTTTAGTTTTATTTTACATCTTGTTGTCTTTGAAATACAATCTGTTTTGATTGTTTGATTGGTATTATATTAAAAACATTTTCTCAATGTCTTGTTTTGAGAGTATTTTTTTTTAAGCACTTTAATTTGCCTTTTATCTAAAAAGGTGATTAAATAAATAAACTTGCCTTTGATGGTCTCCTCCTTTGATACTTTGATCATGACATCTTAGACATAAAAGAAAGCTTTAAAAAGGTCGTACTTGCACCTGGCCAACATCGTTTTGCTTCTCTATCTGAGATAAAAGCAAAATGCTTAATTAAAGGACATCCAGGTGGCGTACAGGGAAAAGCACTAGTGTTCACCTGCAGAGCGGGGTTCAAATGCTGGCAGCTGTGCTTGTGCGCCATCAAACCAGCTCACAATGTTCGCAGGCAGGATGCAGTGAGGGGTCATAGTTTGTGTCGTGACTGATTACACCTTCCCCTCGTAAACAAGGGAGTGAGCAATGACAAGAAGTGCAGAGCATGAAAGAATCTGACCTGACATGAGTCCATCTAAGGGATTACACTGTCCCTACCCGTCATCTCCGCAGTCACTTACTGTGTCCGTTAGCTAGAGGCTCCTGTTGTGTTGTTTTTGGAGAGTGGGCCTCCAGCTCTTTCAGCTGCTTCACCAGCAGGGCCAGGTGCTGCAGCAGGTCCCTGTTCTGGAGCAGAAGCTGGTGGACGCGGGCCTGAGCCTCCATGCGGGCTGCCGTCTCGGCTGCCATCTGATCCTTCAGGAGCTGCACCTGGAATTGACGCAAAGTGCAAGATGTGTTTGTTTGAGTGAGGAGATTCCAGATTACTTTTTTGAATTTACTTTTTTTTTTTTTTTTTTACAAACAGTAAATAAAAAGTGAATGAAATGTTGTAAAGGCTTCCTGTTTATGGCTGAGTTAGACTTATGTATTTGTCTAAATCATTGAGGTTTTTTTTTTCCAGTCCGAATCTATAATCCCTTGCCAGAGACTAACAATAATAATGGTATGGCATTTAAAGTAGACAGTCCACTCCTGGGTTCATTTTTCCTGGCGGTACAATCAAACGCATAAAAAAAAGAAAATAAATATTAATGCAAATATGCATCTGTGTTGTGTTAGCACCTGTTGTTAAAGAAAAGGTGCTTGATGAATATAATGAGATGCTTTGTTACAAATCTGCATTTCAATATCAGTATTGCTTGTGTTCTATTTTGTTGCACTCTCCTTCCATTCCTATGTTGGTGCTGCCCCCTAGTGGAAATCATTGGTCAAAGACAAACAGTGCAGCCAATTATATTGTTAATAATTCATGTCATATTGGATGAGGTAAATCAACAACATGAGCCAGGATCAATCTGTCAGATCCAGGTGGAATTACTGAAGTTGAACTCAGAGACAGAGTAAGCTGGAAAAATAATTGGTACAAGCTGCTGGCTTTTACTCAAAGCAGGTGACTTTCTGATGTAATTTATCGGATATTGATTATTTAGATTCCCTCTCTTAAGAGACCATAGATTTTAAATTAGCTGGAAAATTAGAAAGACCAGAGACTTAGAGAAATATTAATCCCACCAGTGAAACAAATGATACCCCATTGCCTTAGATGAGGCAATTAACTGACTGACAGAACCATAAGTATAATACAGATTTGGTTTCAATAAAAAAAATTAAAAAAAAGCAAAGGGCAAAGTGAAAACAGAATTTCCTGGTCTCAACCAGTTTCCTGGCTATAATAACGATTTTCATCTTTCTTTGCCAGACAATATACATAGTCCTTTAAGTTCTATTGAGATGTGTTTATTGCTTGTAAAATGAACAACTTAAGCCTTTCTGACATTTAGTAAAAAAAATTAAAAAAAAGAAGAAAAAACATCGGAAGATTTCATATTTGACTAAACAAACTTTTAAAACTTTTTTTTTTACATTTCATAGACAAAACAACTCAGAAAACACTTCTCCTAATATGAATCAAACCTTAGTTCGTATTGAATGTGTACTACAATAGAAGGCTGACAGTTTCTTCACAATTTTGTCTTAATGGTTGTATTTACAACCTTCACTCTGCATATGACATTCTGTGTCTGATTCTCACCTGTGCGACAGCCACCTGTGTATGCTGCTGTTGCTGCTGTAGCTGCTGCTGAAGGAGTTGCAGGTAATGCTGTGATGCCAGAGGGGTGAGAGATGGAGAGCGAGGGCTGCTGGGAGCGACACCTTGGGATGTCACAGTGAAGAGGGACCGTCGATCCAAGTCCTGACCGTAGACAAACAAACACAGCAAAGAATGTATGATAAATATGACAGGGAAATGGAAGTTAACACGATGTATTGTAACCACAAATCAATAAATAACACATTATGCATTATAAAAGAATCTACATTTAGAACTTGGACACCAGAGATGGACTCAATTAACAAAGGAGCAGGACAGAAACCACCCAGCCATCCGAGTCCCTGGAATCTCACTGTAAGAGCCCTTGACTCATCAAAACATTCACTCTTTTCATCTCAGCCAGTGTCCTTCGTCCTTTGATTTTAAGATGACCGTATCTCTGGATCAAAAATTCATCTTCAGCAGCATTTCTCTATAAACCAAAACCAATTATGTGTTAATCTTCAGGAACATCAGCGATCACAAAAACAGATGGAAGGTGTGTGTGACTTTGGATTGGCTTCAGAGATAATCTAAGGTACTTTCAAGTCATACATAAACAAACAGAATCTACATCTGTAATCTCTATCACAGAGAACTGCTCCAGCTGTGATGCAGATTTACAATTTCTGATACAGTGGATTACAGACTGTTGTAATGTCCACGTCACACCACTAGGAGGAGACGTTGCACACTGCAAATTACAGGACTGAATGTTTGAGGGGCTTCTGCTTCAGATCATCAGCTTCCCTAAATAAGACATTAAACATTTTAAAAGTCCCTAAAGCTATGATTTATTTCTCATAATATGAACATCAAAAACAATATCACAGGGAGAATCTTTTGTCCTCACTCTGTGCCCTGAACGCCTGCTCTTGCACAATGTAACTTCGGTTGAGCAGGTTACTATCTCCCAGGAGAAGCCCTGAAGAAAAACACCTCCTGTTACCTGTCTGAGCTATTCCGTTAGGACATCAGAGGCAAAAAGAACAAAGGGGATGTCGACGGAGGGAGAGAAAAAGAGAGAGAGTAAACAAACCAAGAGTCCAGGAAAGAATACATCTCAGACTGACTTTCAGTTGCTTTTCCAGTAAGTGAAATGCACAATCTGCTTCTCTGTATGGTTGTTACCTAAGTCAAAAGCAATGTCAAATATTTTTAAATCACCAATCAAGATTTTCTGACAATTTAATCAAAATGTGATGACAGCCATGGGCTGTTTGGCCGGATATTGATGCAGCCACAAAGTCATGCAGAAGTTGATTATCTGAGTTTGTTGCAAGTTTTTTTTCTCTCATTCTGCACGTAAGCGATAAGATTCTCTCCCAGCTGCAGTAAAGGTCAAGAGGCGGTTTGATGTAACCGTCTTTGTGCTAAAAAGGGAAGCGTATACTGAACCAGTATTCCTGCCTTGTAATGTATATCACTGTCAGCTGGACTAAGCAGTTTTGTTAGACGCTGTCAGATTGTACTGTCACTTGATTGTCCATTCTATGTCCATTTATCACAAAGACTAACTTCTTGGGTGTACTTATATATATTTTTTTCTAAGGGGGGGGGGGGGGTGTTATGCCTTTATTCAAGAGACAGGACAATGGATAAGAGTCAGTTATCCGGGGGAGAGAGTGGGGAATAACAGAAGGGAAAGGGAACACAGGTCGGATTAAAATCTGGGCCCCCCGCATCGGGTAGTGCACCCTCCGTGCATGTGGTGCGTGAACCACCCACTAGGTGCCCCATGGGTCTACTTCTTTAATAGCATTGTGCCTCCAATTAAATCTTCGCCTTAAGAAATGTTGGTTTAACAAAATATGCACCTTTGACGTGATCCTAGGCTCTGAGAAACACGAAGAGGCTTTTAAAACAACAACAACAAAATATTCCGACATTTAAAAGACAAAAACAACAACCTCATAAACAGATTAAAGCTATAAAAAAAACTTGGTTTGAGTTCAAGTTATTTATCTAATATGAATGACTAAATTAGACACAATACAATTTAAACTTCTATAAAGCACTTTTCTTTATTTTGTTCATGTACGTGATCTCTTTCTGTTCTTCTCAGTCTTCTTTCCGTCTCTCGTTTTTTTCTCTTATCTCCATGGAGCAGATGTTCATGAACCCCTCAACGGGATTATGGTGGCGTTTTTCAGAAAATCAAAGGGAACAGACTGGGGTTTTTGTTGGGATTAGGTGGCCCCATTTCAGAGCCAGCAGGAATATTCAAGTTCCCCCAATCCAATCCCACTCTCTCTCTCTCTCTCTCTCTCTCGCTCTCTCTTAGCAGCCTTCTAAACGCTGACTCTCCCACACTTGCTGTAGTGACAAATCCAAATGAACACATCATGACAAAACCTCACGTGCATCTTTTCATCCCGCCACTGTCAAAGATTTCCTGAAAGATAATCACTGTTCCCTAACTTCATGCAGGCTTAAAATTCTGACTACACTTCTCGAATGCAGAGAAAATGAAACGTGGTCTCTGTAGATCGTGCGAGAGTCTCAGGTGAATTTACACCTACAGTATCTGTTGCCAGTTTAAGATTGCTGCAGTCGATGATCTGGTCAGGTACTGCAGTAGATGACAAAGCACTTCACTGTTGCTTTCTAAGTTCAATGAGCCGTTTGGCAGTAGATTGCCTGGGTAATAGCATCAGAACACGACTAAAGCCAAAGCAATGAATCAAAGCAGAAGCAGAGTCCTGCTCCAGCTTCAAGGCGAGAGAGGTCTGGGGCAAAGCAACCTGTGATCACTACAAGGATCAAGGTGGATGCTGCTGCTAACACATCCCCTACTGCTTATGTCATGAATAAAAGAGGAACATTCACCGAAAAGAAACCGTCGTAAGAATTTCTGAAGAACTGTTCATGACGAGAGTTGTGTCTGTGTGAGTCTTCACTTAAAAGTTGTTGATGTAGTGCTTAGCAGTTCAAGGAGCCTGAAAGGAATTCAGCCAAGAAGAGAAAGCTAAGTAGTAAAAAAAACACATAAACATAAACTAATTGTGAGCTAAAGAAATATACACTGTATGCATAAATAAGTAATTGTCGTAGGTGTTTTTAGGCATCCACATACAGAGCCCGTTGATATAATGCTATCCCAGTATCATTGGGCTTGTACTGGCCTATTAAGGATGTACCAGTACTCGTCTACGTTATTCCCAATGTCTGCCGATATACAGTATACTTTTATCTGATTCTAGCAGACGATTCATTTCCTCATGTCCGTTACCCTCAGCAACACATGCAGCAGAGCCTTCCAGAGGGGCAGACAGCGGTAGGAATAAAATGATTAACAATGTTTAAAAAGTTTGATAAAGTTGTTTTTATATAAAGAGAGAAATGTTCTGAAAACCTTTGAATTATTATTTGGTAAAGAGACAGGATCTTATTAATCAAGAACAATACAGGATTCATATAACAACCTGCTTGGCCTCAGCATTGCAATGTCCAAGAGTGTGTGTGTGTGTGTGTGTGTGTGTGTGTGTGTGTGTGTGTCGCAGTATCTTACTATGATGGTCTGTCCAGGTTTGACTACATGTAGTTCGGCCAGACTCTGCAGGATTTCACTGACTGCTTTTTCACACAGTGAGGTGCCGACTGAGGGGTCTGCCTCTCCGTTTTTGCTCTCCTCCTCTTCCTCCCCTTGCTCTGCTCCTGTCAGTTTACGACCTGCAGAGAATCACGAGAAGACAACAAGCAAACAGTGTCATTACCTCTGGGGTTGTAGATAGTTCACTTTTTTTCACATGTTTGTTTGAGCTGTGTCCCAGTTTGTGTTCAGAACAACTCCAAACTGACATTGTGTTATTCAAACTGTGGCATTTCATTTTTTTCTAATGACACTTGTTTTTTTTTTAGTGCTGGTTAACATTGCAGCTGTCAAAAATTTGAAGTTTGATATGGGACTAAAAACAAAACTCAAACAAACATGGTTGCCTACATTTAGACAACAAAACCCAAAATGTATTCTCAACTTTAAACACACACAAACAGCATTTTACACTTCCTTACACACATTTATACTTCAGTGCTCTTCACAGAGTGACACCTCAGAAAACACACCGATCAAGGTTAGATTCATGTTGTCATGTAAATCTGTTTACATTCCAGTGTAGCAGATCATCTGTGTTGTTGCCGTTTGATCAGTGTCATGATTTGCACGACTCGAGAGAGTTCATGGTTCCAAATTGGCTTCAGGAAGGCGTGTAATCACACTCAACAAGCAAGGTGGAGCTTTAGCCAGGAGAGAGATCAACCTTGTGCATCCAAAATGACAAATAAGAACTCATAAACACCAACAAGTTCTCCACATTAACACTACATAATAAATATTTTATGGTAAAGTATGTGTTTTGATTCATCATTAAGTTTTCCTGAAAAACGATAAAGAAGTGAAGAAAGCATCGGTTGAAACACATTTTCTTTTTCAATATTATTTATGAATTGTGCTATCACGTCTGTCACATCAAGTCTCAATTCCCATGATTTGTGTTTCTGTCATTAAAAATGGTCATACATGTGTATTAAAGTCTGGGAACATCAGGGAAACAAACAAAGCGAGTCGATTCGAGCGCCCGCTGTGATCAACGCGTGATCTTATCTCTCTGCTGATTTTGTCCGTAAGTGCTGTTTTCTCTTTTCAGCTTATGGTCTTTTTTGCTTTTACAGGTCATATATAGGAGTGTTTCTCAACTGGTCTCGCCAAAATGCAACCCCTTATTTGAACGGTATTGATATAATGATTTAAAATGTGTTTTTTCTTCATCTACTGTAATGTTTGAGATGAAACACATGAGCCCCTTTCACACAGACCATTACTGCTGGACTCCTCTGTGGACTTGTCACTTTCTCCGTCCGCCTGGCCGTCAGCATCCTGCTCAGCGTGCTCCAGACTGAGCTTATGGCACACTTCAAAGGCCTGACCTACTGTCCGCACAATACGCATAGCCTGTGTCTGTCAGGTGAGGGAGAGAGAAACACACAGAGGGCAGAGTGTGAGATAAAAGGTCAATGGTTAGAGGAGATCGTATTCAATGATTAGCAAACACCACAGCGAGTCATTTCACTGTTCACGAGTGAGAGTTTATCAGTGAGATCACTTGCTGTAGATAGCCTGAAAGCATGCATGCCCTCAGCTTTTGTCGGCACACAGTTGAATACCCGCGGCTCAGAGATTAATCATATCACTTCTATGGAACATTTCTCATTACAGCTGACTTGACAATACCAGATGTGTGAGTCAAGTCAGCAGCAGCTTGCAGTCATACAGCTTAAACTAAAAAAAAAAAAAAAAGGTGTCTGCCATGTGTGATGTAATTTTGTCCTTGTGTGCATCTATTCTGCATTCAGTGCAGGGCTATAGCGCTGCAGTGCTAAGCTGATGGATATCAAAGCCAGTGGATATTGAATTTTAGACCAGAACCTTTTTTTTTACTGAGTTAACAAAACACATGAAATTAGTTTCTGAGAAAAAGAAGAGAAAAAGGGGGAAACAGCTGGAGAGAAAATGAAGCATATGACATTGAATTCTGCCTGCAATGCTTGTCTTCGTTTACTATTCGCCTGCTGTATTCAACTGGAGATATAAATCAAGGCTAAATATGAGCAGCAAAGTTTTGAGTTACAGGGAGAAATCTAATCGAAGTGATGTAATGCAGCACTACTGACGCAGCTGTAGCTGGTGATTGGTTTCTCCCTGTATGTATGATAACCGACGGTTTCATTTTCAGTTTTTTTTTTTAACAGGGACTTTCAGGGCTGATGAAACATAAGCGGAGCAGCCAAGTTGAGCATGAAGCCTACTCCCCAGAAAAGTGATATTTAATATTTAGCAGGTCTGTATCAGTAGTTAAATGTTAAGGGAATAGATTAACATCTTGGGAGTGAGATGTCGGCCCATTAAATATGAAGCTACAGAAGGGAGCTACTTAGCTTAGCTTGAAGATGAAGATTGGAAGAAGGATGATAGTGGTGTCCTTGACCGGACATAAAATGTGTTAATTAGAGAGTCGACTAGGCCGTGGTACCAGGATTTGTTTTAGCTTTGGACAGAGCCAGGCTAGCCATTAGCCCAAGCTACAAAAAACAACAACTTGTATGCTTATACCTTCTTCTTTGACTTGAAGACATTACATCTGAAGGAATTGTTGGACCCATCTCTCGCGATGTAGCTGAAAATCTTTAGGTCCTGGGAGTCATGAGAGACGTAGAAAATCCTGCAAAACACGACATATATATATATAAAAAAAAGTCAAACAAATGTAAAGAAAAGAAAAGATCCACCACTTTGTTCACCCTCACTTCCTCCACAATGACATTTTACTTTGAAACACAACAAAGAAATGAGAAGAAAGTGCCAACCCAATGCAGATATAAAATGATTCAAACGTAAAATATTTACAGAATAATATTCATAATAATAAATGCCACTGCTCTACAGTATATTCTCTCTGTGTGTGTTATACTGTTCATGTATTCTGTCCTTTACAGCAACACACACTCTGATGCAGGGTTGACCATTTATCCAGCACCACTGCTACACACTAAAGCATCCCTGTAGGGATCCAGGCAATATAATTAGCACAATTCACAACTTAGAATCAAGTGATTCATAGTGTATATCTCTACCGCACACTAACTCATAAACATCAGCATGTATAATTAAATTGAATACCCATGGTTCCCTTCATGGGATGCTGCTTTGCTTAGTGAAAGTGCTTTTCGGCTGTGCTCTTCACTGGGCAGGTTGCACCATTTTGACACCTTACTGTTTAATTGCTCTGAGCTGTCAAACAGTAACTGACAGCTTCACAGGCCCGTTGAGGATAGGCACCATGCAAACAGGGAGGTTTGTGGGATGTTGAGGCTTTTAAATCTAAAATAAAATACTTAAAGTAGGATGCATCACCTGGAAAAATCACATATTCAAAAGTACACTTACATATGCTCAACCTCCTACATGAACAAGCTATAGATTATTCAGTGCACTGCATCATGATTGTGAATGCATTTGGCACCTACAGTACCCTACATATATGCACATTAGCCCTGCATGCTAAAGTACATCCAAAGCAAAGGCAAGCTTTATCCTCAGAGGCTGAGTTAATGTATGTCGTACCTGCAGTACTGTCACAGTAATTGCTCTACTTAAAGCCAACATGAACATACAGAGGCTAAGGAACAGAACGGGACCAATATCAGTTTAGCAGTTTATTCCCCGAGGTATACAAAGCAATTTGAAAAAATACGAAACCTTTTTTTTTTTTTTCTCTGTACAGTGTTAACAAATGTATGAGTCATGAGGTTTGAGAGGTATGGCTGACCTATAGATGGGATCTTGCATGATCAGCATCTTGCTCTCGTCCCATGTCCACTCTTTTCTCTGTGGGTAAGACATGTTATTGAGATAAAGCACTGATAAGGCAACATACATCATACAAGTTACACTTTCTAACAATGAATGAGCAAAAGAAGGGGAAAAACAGACCTTTTTTTAATTTATTTTTTTAATCCAGAAAGAGATGGTTATTGTGTCAGTGTTAGTGTGTCAGTTTGTGACTTACCTTCTGTTTCTTCCTCAGCATCACCTTCACCCCGTCCACAGACACCACGATGCTGACCTTCTTCTTCTTGATGTTCTTGGCCTTGAATTCATACTGGAGAAATAGAGAACAGGGGTTTCATCAGAATTGTAGAATTTCATATTGATAGCAGCTTATTGTTTCTATTATTAACTATGTAAAACTATATGACATCAGGCAGCACAGTTCGCAAGCAGTATTGCATGACAGTTTGCTTGTTTCAGAGATGCAGAGTTGACTGCACATAACTGAACAAAAAGTACATAAGAAGTCATAAATGTGCAATACTTTGCACCATTTTTTTGGGGGGGGGGGTGGGGGTGTAAGTTGTATTAAAAATAAATATCATACACTCAATACATTTAAAAAAAAAGTATTATCAGCAGACCTGTATCAGTCCTCTCTGCAGCCACACTGCACACACACATTTACACACTAGTCAGCCTCTTGAATGAGGTGAGTGTATGTCTGGCTTCACATTTGTTTTTGTTTTTTCACTGAACTCATTGCATTAAATGGAACAATCTGTCAGCCTTAAAACATAATCTGCGGTGCACTTTAATATATCAGAATCTTTAAACCCTTGGCAGCTCACAATAAGAGTCTGCTGAATCTTTGTAGACAAGCCAACAACAGAAACTCAAAAAGCTCTGTGATGACAGATGACATGGAGAGAGGACAATGTTGGATGACAGAAATTTGTAAACAACAAAGACTGCCAAACTTCTCCTTTAATTGACAGATAACCAACTTCCATGCTAATTATGTAAATCCTGTCTGATCATTTACAGCTGAACTGATATCATTAAAATTGGATGTTTAAAACTTACAGCTGAACCAAAGAGGACAAAACATAAATCACAGCAGCTAAATGAAAAGCAAAAACATTAAAGTAAAAAGCCCAGGATCAAACTGTGTGTTATCTTAGAGAAGTACACAACAGCTGTGTCTGCACTGAGTTACTAAAATGTTTCCACCTCGTCAGCTGGTCCGGTCTCTCTGCTGAGGACCTCAGCAAGTCCGGCCTGTCGACTCACATCAGTGTCGCTTTAAAACATGAAACAGGGTTTAACCCTTATTCACTACCAGCTGTCAGGATCTACAGGGAGACTGTCCGGCCACAGCCGTCTATCGGGCTACAAACTGCTGGTGTTTGACTTTTGAGACAAAAAAGGAATATATAATGTGGCCACAATTAAAAGTCAGATATGTGTGAAAGTCATGTGTAGAGAAAAAGAGCTTTCTGTCTCAGCTGTTCAACGATTCAGTTTTAATACACGAGACAATTTGATTTTAGATAAGCCAGTTTTAATTTTCTTGCTGAAAATAAATACGAGAAGATTGATACCACTCATGTAAGTGTTGAGAACGAAGCCTGCGGAGACAGATAGCTTAGCATAGAGACATTTCAGAATATTTAAAATCAAATAAGCTCAATTGACTGTCTTGCTAAAAATAAGATGATAAGATTGATGCCACTGTACATATTGAGTATATAGCTGAACGAGTCAGTTAGCTTAGCTTAGCATTAAGACTAGCAACAGAGGGCAAAAGCTGCCTTGGAGAAGAAGCCTCGTCGGTAGATCCTTTGTAAGATAATCGTTATTATTTCTGATAGCAAGGCTGACTATTTCTCCTCCATTAAATGCCTTTTTGCGACAGATAACTGGCAATCTTAAACCAGATCTTCTGGTCACATTGGGAGAAACAATATTGAATTTGACTTGTCATTTTTTAAAGTCAATATATGTTAAAATAATAATAATAATAATAAATGAGTCTTATATTGTGGTTTTCTAAATACTCAAAGAAGGAGGTTTGCGTCAGAGACCTGGGTGGGAGTGTTACCTGCGATCAGACAGTTGGCCGTGTATCGTATTATGAGTTACCCTTATTCCCACCCTTTCAATTTTGCATGAACATTTTCTGATAAAGCAGATGGTCCCCTTTATTTCTGTCTATCTCTGACTGAACACACACACATTTATTTAGATTTTAACTTTTAATCACGTCTCTTATCTGTTGCTGACAGGAGCTTGCAAAGCCTCTCAGGATGACAAACGATAAATGTCCATGCTGCTGTTTAAAACATCCTGCTAAAATATCATTACACGGCAAAAGTGAACGGTCGCAACACAGACATTTACAGAGGAGATAATATGTGTTTAAAAGAACGGAATGAAATAAATGCTGGTATGGAGGCAAGGCAAGAGTAAGAAGACAAAAGATATAAAAAGACGAAGTTGAGCAGATAGGAGGAGACAGAGGGAGAGGAGCTGAGGAGACAGCTGTTTTTTATGTAAGGACCTCCTGCAAACTGTGACCTTTTATTCTAGCAACACAACCCTGTCATGGATCAATTAGCCGGGCATTGTTTAACATGTTTTTACAATATTTGGGGCTCTAGTGCAGATAGGGTATGTCGTCCCTGTCTGCGAATGTCTGCAAAGACTGACAGTAATGACATGACGTCAATGATGCAATATTTTGTCACACTGGTTTCCATGTTTCCCATACCTTCTCTGATGCTAATTGTCTGCTTGTGTCTGTTTAAAATGGCCTGCTCTCCCTGCCCCGGATCCATGGTGATTAAAGATTCAGCCTCTAATTATACGGAACCGAGTCCTGAGAGAGCTGATTAAATGGAGAATAGGTTTAGAGAGGGAGTGCAGGAAACACACCATGGAGACAGACGGAGAGGAATGGGGAAATGCTCGGGCTGCAAAGTGAAGTAGAACGAGATGAAAGGAAAGTGCTCAAGCGAAGACCCAAAACGCAGCTACTGAACTTTCATTTATCTCAATCAGTGGACTTATGGACCTTGTGCAAAATTTACGGATGTTGTGAAAACAGTATCTGCTCTGGGGCAAATGAAGACAAAAGGCAATTTAGGAAATACTAATTAAGGAGGAAAGGAATCATGAATTCAGGACACAAACCTGCCAAACATGCAGCTCTGAGGCAAAACCGAAACAGAAAGGCATATGAGCCAAGAAAATAGAAAATAAAAGCAGTGTTTCAAACTTGACAGCCCAATTAAACATGTTAATTAGCTGGTAAAGAAAGGAGGTCTGGTCTGTGTCGCTAATTTCCCCTTTCATGCTCTGATAGTCTAAAATCAAAGGGTATCAAACCTGTTTTTATACCAAGGCAACACAACCAGAAATCCTAGGAACACAATACAGGGGTAAGATATTTCTTGTCTTCAATCATCAAATATTGCATGTGAACTTCTGCACACTCTTTAAATTATACACATATGTTAACAACGTTTCAATACCAAAACATTAACAAAGTATTTGTGCAATTAAGATAGTTTGCAGGAGTTTGGCTGCAATTTTTTGACGGATTCATTCCTCTACAAGCTAATTTTTTAAAAACAGATTTAGCTACTTTAAAGCCTTTTTCGATACTTTGGAAAATTAAAATGACTGAGATTGTATCTTTTTAAAACACGGGGTATAAAAAGTACCAAAGTATCAAACATTTTTGACAACCTGAATATCTGTTATATGTCATGCAATTTACCAGTTAAGATTAAATTGAGGCTAAACTTAAGCCTAATTAAGGACATGGGCAGTCTGGCTGATCAGCCAAGAAGCCTGTGCTGCAGCTCTTTTAGTGAGATACATTTTAGTTTAAATGTTTCAACCTTAATTTGCTATATCCTATCTGCTTGCTCTACCAGATTTCACCATGCCCTGTGTTACGTAAATGTATTAGTGACAGACAACACACGGAAGGCGGGATTGTTGTTGGCTTTTCCACAAAGTGAAAATGTTGAGCGATTGTGAAGAGAAGGGTTGTTTCGCTTACCTGCCTCTAGCTCTTCAACCAGAGCTCGGTGTGTGACATCAGAAGGACAGCAACTAGCTCCACAAGCACTTTTGATCTAATTGGAAAACTACTCCATCAGCTACCCACAAGTGAAATCTTATCTTGTGGGAAACTCTTCTGTGAACCAGCAGTCTATTAGCTAGCTTTAGTTAAACCCTCACACAACTAAAGCTCTGCTTGCTTGCCAAGATGCACTTCTGGCTATAGAAAAAACTCATATGGCGGCTCCCAGAATGCCACATAAAAAGGCATAAACAAGAAGAAAAAAGCCAATAAATCAATAAAAGTCCACTTCTTACGTACAGTTCAGGAAGACCTAGATTCTGCCGAAGCATCAGACTATGAACTCTTGCCTCAATATTGAGAGAAAAGCGAACAACGATAGCTGACTACAGATTCCAAAAATGGAGTTTCTTGAGTTAGTTTTGGAGAGAAAGGACAACAAGACCTAACACACACCTGCTTATCTCAGGCGCCTTACTAACTTCTCAAAAACATTAGTGTGGAAGAAAATAACACGCAGCTCTTCTATTATTCACGGTTTATGCCAGCATTTCTGGTGTAGCAAAATGGGACATTACAACTTCATTCAAAGTATGAAATTTTTATATTTTCCTTGCTTAAGTGCCAAGTGTTTTGAAATATTCAAGCTTTTAATGCACTTGGTTTGTTATGGTTTTCCCTTTAACTAACAGCGAAACAATTTAAAGCTCCTGTATCAGATTCCCTAGAGCCTCAACGTGATAGGTTCAAAGTCTTTCAGTCACACATGTGACTAATATGTGCAAAGTCCTTTAACACCTAAGATGCACTTCTCAAAGAGGGTTCCTTCACCTTAAAATGAAGCATTATTCTCAGTGTTACAGTGCTACAGTAACACCCTGGATTCAGAGTGAGGGCGTTTATTTCAAATCTTTCTCAGTCTGGATGTATGCATTACAGCCGACAGACTCATCAGTCTTTCCAGACAGCGTGACAAATTTCAGTCAGAGGTCCTCTGCAATCTATTATGAAAGTGTCACACAGAATAGTGATGGCTGTTGCTATGTGCATGCAATGAAATGGGAAAGGGAAAGCTCAGCAGAAGTCTTGAAACCCCATTTAATAAATCCTGCTGCTCTAAAACAGACAAAACATATTAAAAGTTCAAACCAGAAGAGGCACAAGGCCTTTCACTCTTATTAATAATATCGGAGAAACCCAAGGCAGTAGACACGGTGAGACATTTTCAGAGCAAT